GCCCTGAGCCTCTGGCCTGTACCCCAGTTCTGTATGCACAAATAAATAAATCTTTAAAAAAAGAAAAAAAGAAAAAGAAAAAGCCCCTGCACTCTCCTGATCCGAGCCCAGTGGCCCGTTTCTGTTCAAACACCCCTTGGGTCTTTGTGAGCTAGAGGCCGCTAAGGGCCATTCCTGCAAACCCAGACTCCTCGGAATGAATGTAGCCATTGATTGTGGGAAAGCCGTGGACGGGGGTTGAGGGGTGGGGGGGGCGAGCAGGGTGCGTGTATCTGGGAAGAAAGCAGTGGTCACCATTACAGAAAAAACAGCAGAGGGAGAGTGCCAGTTCTATCAAACCCAGGTCAGGGACCCCACTCTCACAGGCCGGAGTGCTCCTGGGAGAGTTTATAAAGCCTAGAAGCTGAGAACACTCCTCTCTCCCCACCCCGTGCCCTGGTACAGTCTCAAAAGCCAAGCAGGTTCCACTGAGGTCGGTGCCAAGTGTGCTCTGGCTCTGGGAGCCCAGCGCGGGAAAGACGCGTGTAAACAATGTGCTCGCTGGGGGTGCAGGGGGACCGGTTCTTGCTGCTGGCCCAGGCCACAGGAGGAGAGCGGCCCTTGGGAAAGTCTTGTGTCTAAACTGTCTCGTGCCCCTTCTTCGGGGATTGAGAAGAACACTGTCAGGTTTCGAAGAGGCACTGGCTTTTGCCCAATGTATTTAAATCCAATTAGACTCTTAACTGAGTGGGTTTGAAAGGGCACCGTGGAGATCTCCCCAAACCACAGAATCAGTTATGGTGGGGCCCCCCAGTGAGAGGACGCAGGTTCCTGAGCTCTGGGTGCTTGCTGGCGGGGGCCAGAGAAGTGCAGGTAAAGTGGTTTGCAGGGTGCGGCCCCAAGGGCGGGAGCCCTGTGGGTCCCCCACCCCCACCCTTTCCCGCAGAGGTAAGCAGACGGACGGACCTGGAAGGCTTCTGGGAAGAGGCGGCTGTAGATCAAGGACCTTAGGTTGTTTTGTGTTTTGTTAGGAACAGCTGTTGTTGAGTTTCCTGTTGGCTGCAGGAACCCACTGGCTGAAAAGCAATGAGCTTAAAGTCAAACTGGGAAAACAAAGGATAGATGTGAGGGAAACGCCACGGAGCCTTGAACTGAGCTACAGTAAATAAGGAAAAATGAAGGGGCCTTGCCAGGCAATTAGAGCCTGGAGCTGCCTTTCTGCTGACCTTCTGATCCTGCCAGGCCGTTAACGCTGCCACCTCTGAGCTGACCCAACAAAACAAAAAAAAAAAAAGTGCAAAAACCGAAAGTGTCTCTTCATTTCCACATCCTCAGCTATTCCCCAAAGCTGCCTGATTCCTGGAATCAGCCTACGTCTGTTGTCACGTGAGCCAATGTGTGCTAAGCCAAGAGGTGAAAGGGGGGACAAAGGTGACCTAGTGGGGTCCCCAGGTTCCTGGGGTCCACTGACCAGAAACGGGGACTTAGTATGCACACAGGAAAGACAGAATTCAGAACTGTCCCATGGACTGGGAAGCACCCAGAAAACAGAAACTGGAGGTTTATAAGCTGGCCACAGAGGAGTGCGCAGGAGCTCACAGGAAGAGGCAGAGCAGTTCTGGGAAAGGGAATGAGATGCTCTGAGAGCTGGTGCACACAGGGTGTTATTTGAGAAACCCCAGTGGCCAGTGTATCATGCGCACAGCATGGGGGCAGGCGGTGGGCATGAAAGGGGAGAAGGTAGGCCCTGGGGCCAGCTGTGGGATGAGATCACGGGGGCAGGTGGGCAGGGCTTTTATATATTTTGCTGAGGAGTCAGCCCCTAACCCTGAAGGCTGGGTCACGCCGTGGGATGGTCTCTAGTACAGTTTTCCAAGTGGGCTAGAGATAGACTGATGTTATCTCTAGCCAGCGGGCAGGGGACCA